GGCCCCACCAGTGCTGTGGGATACAGCAGCCTTTTGAGAGCCTCATTTTGCCTTTTATCAGATCCCTCTGGTCTCATCCTCATCCTCTTTAAATGTGAACCTATTCAGGTACAGTCCAAACACTCATGTCCTGCATGTTTGTTGGATCAGGGCCTGAGGTGATAGGGCTGAAATCTGGGCCAGAACCCTTGAGAGTCTGCCTCTGAACTCCACTGAGTAGGGAAGATGAGATTGGCACAGGGACCTGGCACTGCCTCACCCCCAGCACTTGGGCCTGTGGCTGAAAGACCTAGTTTTCTTGAGGAAACACAAGTGCCAAGTCCTGCCCTGCTCTGAGGCCCATCCCAGCAGAAGGAGTAGCAGTGCTTGCCCCTTGGGAGCAGGGCAGGGACTAATCTGGTGTTTCTTCCTCCCATGCAGGACATGCCTGGTTGCTTAGCAGACCTGAGGAGCAGGCTCCTGAGGAAGGGCCTGGAAAGCTTAAGCCACCATGGGCTTCCCTGCGGAGTATGGGTGAGGTGGATTCCCTGAGCCCAGGGAAGGACCAATGGCACAAGGGTCAGGGGATGCCCCAAAAGCAGGAGAATGTAGCAGTGAATGTGGTCCCATCTCTAGCTGGGCATTGGAGTGAAGAAGGGAAAGAAGCCAGAAACAGCCCAAGGTGCAGGGATGAATATGTCATGCTGAGACACCTGAAGAGGCAGAAAGCAAAGGTGCATTGGAGAGAGACACTGCATGCAAACCAAGACAGTGTGGGGGGCCTCAGAGGGAAGCAGGAGCTCACTGCCAATCCCAGTGGGAGAGCCCACTCCTGCCCTCAGTGCAGGAAAAGGTTTAGCTGCGCATCGCGCCTGGCTCTGCACAAGATAAGGCACGCTGGGGAGAAGGCCCGTGTACGCGCCACGTGTGGGAAGAGCTTCACCTGCCTCTCGACCCTGGCTGCTCACCACCAGGTCCATTCTGGACAGCTCCCCCACCGCTTCACCAAAAGGGGGAAGAGCTTTGTGCTGCTCAAAACCCAGGATGTGCACAGGAAGAAGCGTCAGTACTGCTGCGTCACATGTGGTAAGACCTTCACCCACTTCTTCTCCCTGGTTCAGCACCGGCGCATGCATTTGGGGAGGAAGATGCACCGCTGCACTGAGTGCAGGAAGAACTTCATCAGCTGGCAAGGCCTGTCCCAGCACCGGTGTGTGCGGAGGAGGCAGCAGCCACACTGCTGCACAAAGTGTGGGATG